TTAGTACTAAGGAGGATCTAGAACAACGATCGCGATAATAGACCTCAAATTTCCTAACGCAGTCTCTAACCAGAATAACTGAACGACTGGTTTATCCTTGAAGCTAGCAAGGCTGTGCTAAAACTCATAAACGGAGATCGAGCGGCATGGATCTGTTTGCTGGGCTCGAGAATCTATAGCAAGCGATGACGTTAGATGGAATCGATGAGAGGTTGCTTTTCTTTTCACTTTGTACGGCTAGACGGTTGGGAGAGAGAGGTCCACTAGGCGAGACAGATTTTACGATCGATTCGAATTACTCATTCGTGCCGTTGCACGACTCAACGCCTAATTCAACCCCATCATCCAGTACCCCTCACTCCTGGATCACGATTCTCTCTTCTCACCCCATCGACGGTGTTTTGTGCACCCCTTCGACGGTGCAAGAAGCTACGAGCGGGTTTTCGAGAGCATATTATGCAGATATGACAAATACGGCTGCGATGTCTCCCTACATAGTGATTACATGTTTGATGCCCCTAGTTTCCAACGCAGCTGTTGTATGGCTAGCTTACCGAACATTGCCGTAATCCTTTGGTAGATTTACATAGCAGTTTAGGCGAGTTCCTTCTTTCTTACTTTTCGTTGACGAGATGACGATTATTAATTGCTTACTTGCCCCTGAAGATAATCAAATAAATTAATTTGTCTTTTATAAAAGGAATAGTGATCTGTACTTCACTGTTCTTTATATTATGTTTTATATACTTCACAGTACGAAGGCAGTATATAAAATGGCTAATGGTATCGTCCTACTTCAAAATGAACTTCCGTTGAACTCCGTTGGATGAACTTATGAAACTGCGCCGAACTATATCCTTTTTCCTATATGCGCATTTTACTATAGCTATTCGATTGAGTTTACGAACTTTCCCAATATAATCGGCTACCTGAAATACTTTAACCGTCTTTATTATGTTCCTCTATAAATAAACAACCTTGAGAGAATAAACCAAAAATATTAAATTACCACAGTGCATTTACAGCTTTTATTACAGTTCAATCGATTCGGTTACTTGTTATGTCTCAAACTATCGAAAAGAAAAATGAAAACGTATAGGTTAGAAAAATTAATATTTTTCTGATAATTTCCATATAAATTTACATATTAAAATGAACACATAAAAAGATGAACTCAATGAAAACGTTGGAATAGTGTAAAAGTATTCTCAAACCATAAATATAATTTGAAATCTTTATATTAAAAATTCTATCTCGTATTCCTTTCTTGTCTCACGTCGTGTTACCAATCTTGTGCGCTATTCTAACCAAGCGTTAATCAACGGTGACAATGTGTAAAGTACACAGTCGGTAACTGACGAAGGAGCAAAAGTTGCATGCAAAATTTCCGTAAGTAAAGCGACAATTTTATGCACACCGTGTGTGCAGGTATCGGTTTGGTAACGTACGTCGCCGCGTATATTGTTTATTTTCACCACAGGCAAAACGTATAGGATACTCGACATGTATTTACAGCGGATAACGGAACCATGCCGATGTTCAGACCTTCCTTGTTGCGCGCGCAAGCTCGAGCGAGAAAACAGGACGGGTATACGTGAGGAGGACGACGAACGTTGAAAAGAAACGAGGAAGAACCCGTACAGTATCGTCATCTGAACGAACGGGCTCTCAGAGAATTTCTTCGATCGAAGATTACGTATCTCCCCGAGATGGTAAAAGTAAAACCACGTTTGCTTGCTTGCACATACAAGTACAATGAATTTTACCTTGCAATACTTATAAATTGTTTTTAATAGGTAACGGTAGTCGATAAGAAACTATATTCATGTGGATCGAGAAATTACATCAAACCACAGCTTACACGAATTCAATACTTCAAACAGTTTAAGAGGCAATAAGATTAAAGTTGGTTTGAACTATCATAGAGGTTATGAGAGATAATTAATAACAAATATTTTAAACGTACGTAAAAAAATTAAATGTATAGATAATATTGTGAAAAAATATATTAATGACTAAACTGATTAATTATAACAATTAAATTAGATTCTTGAAATAGAATTGATGAACGAAAATTTCAAGATTTCTTTTTTCTCTGGAAGCACAAAGAAGCAGAAGAAAGGAACAAAAACGGTCCGAAGAAACATTTAAAGTGTCCGGTTAGTACGACCTACACTTTCAGCAAGCATAAGAGACCTTCAAATTAAGAATTCTTTGGAAGTCGGAATGGTCCCGTATAAACAACTGTTCAGACTTCCACCAGTTTGGAAAGAGTTTAATAAGTCGGCCTATTTTGAAGAAAGAGTTAAATAAGTCTTCCAATTATGCTCGTTTGTTAAAATATATTTTTATATTACAACTGAGATCACATTCTTGCACAAGTGTAGATAAAATAATATTTATTTTAAGCAGAATGTGCGAGACAATTTTAGAATTATTTAATTTTTATTTTTGTTACAGTAAAAATTTTTAAAAATTGTTCCATGCATTATAAAATTTACATATTGAAAGTAACATGGAAAAAATGAACCACAACGCTATATCCATGTAAATTTGTTATAAAACCATTCCGCCATGACATATAACACGAAGAAAATGTAATACAAATTTAGTATCGATAACAGTATGTATTTTTAAATACAATCAAATTAGTTTTAATTTTATTAATGTCTATCATCATTATCTCGTAACTATACTTAATAATTTTCAGTGCAAACTTCTATATTATTCGTTTCCCCACGAAAACTAAGGACAGCTTTCGAATTAAATTATTGCAATTTGGTACGCAATAATAAAATAGTTACCTTTGCGAACTCTCTTGCTTAAAGTATAAAATTTCCATAAATTTAATAATTTCCATTAATGAAACTTCAGTGTCCGTACGGCGTTCTCACAAATTTCACGATATTCGTCTTGGTGCAATAAGAATAAGACCGACACAACTGGTCGGTAATTAACAGAAAAAGTATTGACAAAAAGTTCAACGGCGTGAGCTAGATTTAATTAATAACCATCGAACGTGGCTGCAGCGTCGGTCTACAGGAACAGAATAATTTCTTCTCAGTAACCGCATTTTCTAAATTAATTTCCGCCCAGTCGCGACGGCTCGTGTTTTCTGTCCTTGATATTTCTGACAATTTCCGCGACGAGAAACTTGATGGTCCTCCAGTGTGTCCCCAAAGCGACTTTTCATCGTTGGAACCGAATGGTACGTGGACTCCCACGGTCGATATGAAATCACAAAGGTTAGAACGCAATTCGACAGGACAAAGAGGCTAGACTAGTGACGGTTGTTTTTTAAACTTCTTAAGTTCAGTGCTGTTGATAACGTGATTGAATAATACCCTCTTGCGAAAAATTTTTTTCGTATTGGTCCACAGTTATATAAAATAATGCATGTATTTATTTGTACGAAATATGTAGAAAAATAACTTAATTCACTTTGCAAATGAAATTAATTTTGTTAATTATACGCATGCTCGAATTGTTACGTTAGTTTGACTTACTATTTCATTATTTATGTATATTTAAATTTCGATGAATGTAGATAAATAACATGAGAGTTGCGTGTAATTACAGTGATTCAAATAAAATCGATGGTTACCGACGTGAAATTGTAATTATGATAATGCTACAACTTTTATAATATATTAACATGACTGTTAGCATTATATTGAATTTTATAAAGATGTATTTTAAATGATTCGATATCATAACGCACTAGTCACCTCGTCACAATGTAAAGATTCAATTATAACGAACAAATATCGACCGCGATATCATCTTTATAAAAAGAATGAAACCGGTTTCTACGAATTCTGCTAGTTGATACGTTATGTATTTCACGCTACAATCTCAGATACAGTTGAAACCCATGGACCGATTTAAGAACCTGGAAAGGAAATAGCTGATGCCAAAAAGATACGAACACTTTCACGGTCCATTTTTATATTTATTATCCAAATAGATGCAATTAATGATGTTATTGGAAATAATTAAGGTAATGTTTATAATCCAATTCAATAATTATTCCTTTTATTTTATCCTACTTTAGACAAGAAAAATATTTATTAAATTAATTTTTAGATTTAGTCATACAAGGAAACAACATGCAGAAACAATTTGCAGAACAAATATAGAAAATAATGTATACACACGATTATATTTATGTACATTTTGATACATATGATGCATGTTACCTCATTTTTATTGGTTTGTTGCAAGCTCGGTAATTTGTGTTCTTGCTAAACAGCTTAACTACTTCAAAGAATGTCAAATAATGTAATCAACCATTCCATTCAACGTAATTTCTTACAATTATACATCTGAGGTAAACATTATAATTTTCATTACAAAGTGTTATAGAAATTTCGATCGATAACAATTAGAACTTACAGTTTTTCTACCTTGTATGTAAACGACTAAAGACGTTCATGACGCAGAGAAGCAATTATAAACAAATACTATGTGATAGATGCCAATACAGGCTGCGTTATAACCTAATCAAACTCACTCATACGATTTCCTCGTACGTTCGAAAATGAAATACCGTATAACGATTCAATCGAATTACCTCGAATCGATTGAAGGAATTACCTAAACAGACATACCAACGTGTGGCGGGATAATTGCAAAGGATGAAAAGCGAACATGCGTGTGAAATGAGGCACGCATAAATCACAGTTAATCACATTTCTGTTAATTAAACCGGGTTGAGACATGAATAACTAAAAAGAGAATGTGTACAGACGTATTCGAAATCTGTCTTCATGGGCTACCGTGATTAGGTAAAAAATTCGCCATGGAGGATATCGTCCGTTAAAAACAATTGACTATGATTTAAGACGAAAACGGGGTCACGTAGATCCGACTGGAACGAGGGAATCAACGGTCGCGGTACGCGTGTACCGAGATACTTCGATCGACGTATCGAAGGGTTGCTGCCCGGGTCACTGGGTTTTCGCGATCATGATGAAAGAAAGATGAAACAAATTACTTACCCCAATAATTAGATCCACGATATTCTTTTCTCGGATGATGTTTGTAACAAATACTCCGAGCTGGATTCACGAAATGTCACGAAAGCACGAAACCATAACATCAACGATAGTTCCAGTACGAAGTCTGGTGAGCGACTGTTGCGTCCCGGTTTGTTCACGACTCCCTTGCACACCGGCTCGCGCTTCTCGGCGCGTAAACGTCAATGCGAGTGCTCTCTAGCATTAGCTCACCTTTGCAACACCTTTCGTGCACCTTCGACATACCCCTGGCTATGCCGTGATGGTATTCATTTGTAAATAAAGGCGTTTCTAATATTTTGTTACTATTCTTAATTACGAAAAAAATTCTTTTGTTGCCGATACACGTGTATATTGCTTGGTACTTTTGTATAACTATAAATAGTTTTATTTATAGCATAAACAAATTTTAATACGCATCAAAAATAGGTTAATTATTTGTACAAATAAAAATATATATAAAATTTATATTCATAAAAAGCGAATTTCTTTGATTAAAAATTGTATTTTACATCATAAAATTTTGTTTAAACGATTTAAAATTTTTTGCATATTTTTACAAAATTTATGCAACCGTTTTAAAATACTTTGTCGAATAATACAAAAATCGTTACTGTTACACAATTAGCATCTGGTTCACAGACAGTTCGCACCTGTTAGAACTTAACCATATAGGATGGTGCACGCAAATGAAATTGAAGATTATTTTAAGAGAAAAATTTTTCATATTATTTTTAATATTAAATATTCTAATTTCTATTTTTATCTATCTTTAAAAAGAATATATTACTTTTATCACAAAATTACTTTTAACAACTACTATAATATAATGAATTTTTGAGCGAATGGAAAGTGTTGTTATATTTGATCAATTTAGATTGCATTACGCGAATAAATAGTTACAATAAATTTAACAACTCAACATTCAATCAACTATCCATCAATTAAGAAGAAATTACAACGAGATTTTCACGTTCGCGCCTAATTTCGCCGCTCATCCTGCATTTCCTGTATCTCTCTCCTTCCATTTCCGTTTTGCTAACCTCATTCGATGGAAGCGCTATGAAAGCACAATACATACTGGTTAACATCTTCAACCAATGGCGTTTCTGCGCAAGGCAACCTAGGATCGACGCATCGCGGTAGTCGTAATTTCAGACAGTTCGTGCCCCGTTTTTACGCCATTATGGATTCGTTAGCAAATTACGCTAGTGACGGGGACAATAGTAATAATTCAGAAGATCCAAAGGTGAGTATGTATATACTAATAAGCATTGAAATATTTTACGATAATTTCGTTGATGGCGCATTCCCACTTCGGCAACCATGACGCTTAAGAAATTTTCGTATATACACTCGACATGGCTTCTAGGATAGGTTTTTAAGTAGATGCACAACTTGTCGATTATTAATAAACATTTTTTATATTTAACATTTTACCTCAGAAAATTAAGTTAGTTATTTGTGATATAGAATTATTTTTCAGCTGCAGGTTTGCTATAAACCTACCAATCAAAGCGTTTACTTAACATACAAATTACATGTAACCACTACACTCATTTGTATAATTGTAAGTGTATTGAATATCCTTACATATAATTTTATAAATTACTAATTTATTAATTGGCGATGCTTATACTTCAATTTATATTTCTAAATATAAAGTATCTAGATATTTATTGTTGACTTTATTATTAATTTAATATTAATGATATACTTTCAATATTGGTAATATATGTGAAATTTGTGGCTTGTAAATCATTTAGTGGTTTATCAGAAATATTATGTTTCAAAGATACCATATGGGATGCATGGTGATACCAATAAAAGGGCCAGTGACGCTAACTACGACCCAGTACAAATGGACATGAGTGAGGTACAGTGAAATTGAATGTTTGCAAATGCTTGTTTGTAATATTAAGTATAAAATGTTACAACAATTACTAGGAAGATGTGGTATCTTTATGGGGACTGTACATACATATAGGCTCATACCTAATATATAAGAAAAGAGGTTTAATATTTGATTTTTAGAGGTCATGTCAAAATCAAATAAATGAAATGCAGATTGATAATAGCACTCTTATTGTATCTTTGCAATTAAATATTCAAAGAGAATTGAAAAATCTATTTATGCTGAAGCTAGTAAAAAACAAGTTGTTTCATAGTGGTTTTATATAGGTTGAAATAATTTTTATTAATTGTTTCTTATTCGTAAGGACCATAGATGCCACACTCTATATAATACAGTGATCATTTTTGTTATTACAACCTTCATTTTATACCTAATTGCAATTTATTGAAACCATTGTATTGTTTACATTATATCACTATGATGCAATGCAATATTATCTTTCATTATTTTTATATCATCTTTTAATGTGTTATAACAATATTATCAAAACAGTCTATGAAATAAAAAATTCCAGAAAGTTTAAGACATGACCTTAAAGCCTGATTTATCGGGTGACAGAAACAATGAGGGTAGAGATTCAGATATTTAAAATTTAAATAATAAGTAAATGGGAATAGTGCCATTTCGTGAGAAAATATTAACACGTAGCTCTGTTGGTAATACATGATACAATATCTACGCACCTCGGCAAGGTCTATGCTGTGTGAGGGTCTTTCAAGACTTCCCCAAGTCCTATTCAGAAGACAGAGGTGAGTAGAGGAAGCTGGAAGAAGGTAACACTAATAAAAAATCAACCATCAAAGAAACCACATGTACAAACATATTCGGGTAATATAACTAACTGCTAAAGCAGATAAATATGAAGGGCCCTCATATTCCTGTTTCTCTTTCATTCTATTCATCTACCAGAAATTTGACTGGAAAAAGTTTACAATGAAATTTATAGTGAATAAAAATTTCTATGTTATAATATTTTTGTATCAAGTACAACCAAGGATGTAAGAAAACTGAAGTTATTTTTCTGAAAATTATTAGTTTTAAGAGTGCTCTCTATCTTTCAATACCAAAAATATTAGGATGAACTAATTTTTACCTGGTAATTGCAAATGTTGCAAAATTCAATTTTTGTATACACTGAAATTTTGAAAATTTTAGAATTAAAAAATAAATCTATTGATACAATATTGAAACAATACAAAATTCTAGTGTGTAAAAAATTGATTTTTGCTAAATTGTGAGGGTACTAAAAAAAGAAGGTTTGATTTTTACTATAGTTCTTGTAATGTAAATTGAAATTTATGTTTCACTTAATAGAATATGTGGAAGGTGTATAGTAATGTAGATAATTTTTATTTCTTTAGGAAAGCAACAACAACAATTCGTCCAGGGAATCCAGTAGTGAAAGGGCACATAGTCCAGCAGCACAATCAAAAATAGATTCATCCCGAACATTACCTTCCCTCTCAGACCAGAGGTAAGCTGGTTTGTAAGCGTATTCTCCTCTGGACTTAAATTAATGCATTTCTTTGAATTTTATAAGAGAAAAAAAACTTGCAACATATTTACCACATAATGTTTCCCTTACATGCAGAATAATAATACGAATCTGTGTGGTATACCCTGCAGAACGTAATCGTTTTACAGGCGATCTGATCATGAGAATCATACAGCAAACTCAAAAGACGAGCACAAACGAGGAGATAGATCTGACCGTAGTAGACACATGAGTGATAAAGGACGACGATCATCATACGATGATAGGAGGCAACGAGAAAGCAGTCATAGAGACAGAGACATAAAAAGGAGTCGAGATGACGAGAGAAAATCTCGTGATGATGATAAAAAGAAGGAAAAGAGTTCATTGGGATCAAGCAGGGATGAGAAGAATGACGACAGGGAAAAAAATGATAAGGATCATCATTACCGCGATGATCGAAGGGATCGTAATCGTGATAGAAATGATAGAGATAGACGTAGGGATAGGGACAGAGATCGAGATCGTCGACATGCTAGAGATGACAGATCAAAAGATCGGTACCGGGACGATCGAACTAGTTACCATAAAGAAAAAGATCGTACGAGATCAAGATCTAGATCAAGGGATCGAGCTCCACCACCTTTCCGAACGATGAGCTACAGGGAAGAGAAAGGTAGAAACAAGTTAGCTCAATTGGAGAAACTAGGAATTGAACTTAAAGCACCGGAAGGAGACACGGGTACACCAGGCATACAAAATGAACAGAATTATTATAATCCATTAACCACAGCTACACAAGGAAAATACGCGGAACAGATACAGAAGAGGAAACTTTTATGGGCAAATAAAGTAATTATTGATGCTTATTTTATATCTAAAAATATGTATTTTAAATACATTCGTTATAAAATTTAAATTTACAGTCGAAACAAGACGAAGGCAAAACATCTACAGCAGCTTCTACTGCAAATACTTGGGTGGGGACAACGTTCACTCATGATCAAGATGGTAAAGTAACAGCGAAGTTTAAGCGATTGATGGGCATTAAAGATGATTTACCAACTACACCGGCAGCAGGTGCTAAACCTGATATATTAAAGAAGCAAGAAGAAATGTTTAATAATATGGAGCAACAATATGAAGTAGCTCGTGCTACTACACACACTCAGCGTGGTGTTGGACTTGGTTATGCTACTGGTGGCTATCAATTTCCTCGATAAAATGCGATGAAACTTTGAACGACGACGAATTACGATTAATGACGCCAGCACAGGTGCAACTCGATTTTTGTCTGTTGATTTTACAATTTCGTCAGGTCGATTATGGAACAGAGTTATTATTTTGAAATCGTTATAAATAGAAACTATAGATTAATTGCAAAGCTTATAAAATAAAGATTTGAATAATCTTGTTCCACAGTTATGTAATTATATTGTAAACACGAAGAAAAAGAAAAAAATAAATCTACTAAGAACATGGAAGAAGGACTCTGTATTTTCGGCTTGACGATGATTATTCCTGATTATTTTCTGTTCGTGGAAAAAGGTGGAAAGGAAGATAAATCTTTTTATGCTACGAATGTGCTTACAACTTCAATTTATATGATAATTTTGTTGTATCTATATGCTGTATGTATAAATACATAAGAGGTACATTGACACAAATAATATTTCTTTCTTTTTTTTTTTAAATAAATGTTCTCAAATATCTTTTGGAATTTTTTCTTTAATTCCTTTAATTTTTTATATGAAATCAAATACTTTAAAACATTCGTTTATTATATTAATTAATATATTTTAGACTTGAAAGTTAGCCACATTTCTTGTCATTAAATCATGTTGATCAAAAATGTAATTTGATATTTTTTTACAGTCATTATCATAATTTTTGTTAGAGTAGCAAAAAAGCGCGGGCTTAAAAGCAGCACGTACGTTCTCGTAAGAACGTAACTATTGTGATGTTCGTTTGGATTGGTTAGAACAAGGCCGACTTGTAGCGAAGTAAACCGAATGCTGAATATTCAAACGTGTTTATCAATATGGCGTACCGACGTTTGAATTTGATCGTTACGTGTCGGTATACTTGAAAAGTTCGTGTAATACGTATGAAATTTTATTGTATTTGAGTAGTATTAGGCATTACGATTTAGAAGGATATATCACGTACTTTTGAGTTTAATGCTATATAATCACTATGGATAATTTTGTGAAGATTGAAAAAATCGGTGAAGGTGAATGGTTTTGGATAGCACTTTGCAAATTGTGCTTTTTTAGTTAGCACTTTTTTTTATCATGTATTTCAAGATTATGTTTATTTGTAATCCAAAAATATTTTGGATAATTTTATATCAAAGTGTAGTCTTTTGATCTTTAATTTATTACACTGAATGATAAAATTTGTAAATTTTGTTAAACTTGTGCTATTAATCGAGGTTATTAAAAGATAAGTATTTCAAAAGTCATAATCATTAAGCACACTGCTCGGACTGTAAAATAATTGCTTTTAATTATATGTACTTTTGGTTTGTATAATGGAAAGTACTTTAATTACTACAGTTTTGTATAATCTGGAAAGATGAGAGGGTGGATAGCATTGTAGTAAAAAAAATGTTCACAGGTACTTATGGAGTAGTATACAAGGGAAAGCATAGGAAAACTGGAGAAATAGTAGCTATGAAAAAGATTCGTTTGGAAAGTGATGATGAGGGAATACCATCAACAGCAATTCGTGAGATCTCTTTGCTCAAAGAATTGCCACATCCCAATATTGTTAGATTAATGGAAGTGTTGACGGAAGAAACTAGACTATATTTGATCTTTGAATATCTTACTATGGATTTAAAAAAATATATGGATAGTTTAGGTACTGGAAAATTAATGGAACCAGAGATGGTGAAATCTTATTTATATCAGGTTTGAAAACATTTTTAATTCATAAAATAATATTTATTATACTGCATGAATAAGGTAATTTTAAACATATTAATAAATAGTTTTGAAAAATATCAATTACCACTGGTATTTATAATAAACACTGTAAAATGTCTCGTAAAAACTAAAATAATTATATTTGATTTTTTTTTTAGATTACACGTGCTATTCTCTTCTGCCACAAACGTAGAATATTACATCGTGATTTAAAGCCTCAAAATTTATTAATTGATAAAAATGGGTTGATCAAGGTAGCAGATTTTGGTCTTGGGCGAGCATTTGGAATACCAGTTAGAGTATATACTCATGAAGTAGTCACTTTGTGGTACAGAGCTCCAGAAATACTCCTTGGTGCCAATAGATATTCATGTGCTATTGATATCTGGAGTATTGGTTGCATATTTGCTGAGATGGCAACAAAAAAGCCACTATTCCAAGGAGATAGTGAAATTGATCAGTTATTTAGAATATTCCGGTGGGTAGGATACAATATGTTAGATCATAATTTAATATAAATTGAATATAAAATAATAATGGATATTTTGTAGGATACTAAGAACACCTACAGAAGAAATATGGCCAGGTGTAACGCAATTGTCGGATTACAAAGCTACTTTTCCAAATTGGATAACAAATAATTTGGAATCACAAGTAAAGACATTAGATGCAGATGGGCTTGATCTCCTGCAAATGATGCTTATATATGACCCTGTTCATAGAATATCGGCTCGAGCTGCTTTAAAACATCCTTACTTTAACGATTTAGATATTTCAAAATTGCCACCAGCATAACACGGAGAAAAGACGGGAATGGATAAATATATGTTGCTCAGATATTGTGACGTTTTTATTGTGTGACTACATAGAAAATATGTCTCAGGGTATACCGAAATGTTTAATTTATTCGTATGTATGACCGCATTTTTTTTTTTTTGACTTTGCTCATCATATATGGGGAATTTGTATGAAGAATTTTTGTTTTGCATTCGCAATTATATTATGTTTAGACAGCACAATTGCAAATTTCTGTTATAATAGGTCATTGTAGTGTACTCAAGCAAACACGATCTGTAGCAATTTGGTATTCAAGAGATTCATCTTTCTCGCATACAGACGGATAAAGTTAATAACGAGGCGATATTATGATCTTATGTATTCATTAGAATTTACTTTAGTTTTTTTTCATACCTATTACTTATTCATTTTAATAAAAATATTATAATGTCGTGTCTTTAGACATCATTTCATTATATATTGAATAGAAAAATTATTTCTTCATTATTCAGAGAACGTATTGTAAGTGTTCTAGTTGTAAGAGAAATAACATATTTGATAATATTAGAAATTTAGCTGAGGATATATCACTATTGGCATGTGTACATATCACTGAAAAATTCACACGCTCGTTGAAAATATATCTTTTGTACTTTTATTCTAAAATAAATGACAATATTTTATTTAAATATAACATATCTTTAATGTGTCGATGCGGAAGAAATCTCGATATTTTCATCATAACTTATTTAATCACTTTTGTAGTCACAAAAGAATACGTATGTATACTATTACTTTTCCATACTGTAATGTTTTCTTTTATCTCATAATATGTATATTAAGTTAAAATATTACAGAGAAGAAAAGAATGAAACCGTACATGATGTTAGCAATTCCTGGAACAACCAACTTGATTTCTACGGATGAAAATGACTCATCGCGAACAGCGGTATAGCAAAATTACGCGGAACCCTTATCTTTAGCTCCTTTTTAATAGGTACAAATATATAAATATTTATTAGAAAAAATATGTATAAAATTTACATATATCTGTCTCATTTTTTATATATCGTAAATTATTTAATAATGAGCTATTAATAAAATAATTAGAAATTTAATATTATAGAATATCATATATTTATAATATTTTATACTTTAATAAAAGATATGGATCGAAAATTTCGTTGTTTTTATTTTTGTACAAGGAAAATATATTATAGTATTAAAATAGTAGTAAAGAATATATACGAGTAAATTAATTATACTGTACCTTCACTATTTTTGTAAAATAATTTAGTACTATAAGGCAATACAAGAAATCGATTCATTTCTACAGATTCTTTAGAAATAACGTGTTTGGTCGGACCATGCTACTCATTCAAAGCATGCGTGACCCATAATTGGATCGAGAGTGGGGTATGTCTCATAAAATCCTCCTCCGTCGAAGCTAGTGTTTACAGTACCAGTACAGAGTTCCACAACATCACGTCACAGTGAGTATACCCGTTTAATATATTAAACGCATTACATCTTAAAATCATACATTGCATTTTTATCGATCTTTGTGTTTGCAATTTAGGTATATTACAAAAGGTCGGTGACTTTTATAGACATATTTAAATAAAATCTACATATATTCTGAAACGATTTCGGTATAGTATGAACTTTCACTGATTAGTGTTGGTAAATAAAAGTGTATTTTTATCAAATATTTTTTAATAGTTCAAAATAATTTCTAAATGAATATTACGTTAATTTATTTTTCATTATTTTGGCAAAAATGTATTTGTGTTATTAAACGAATGTGACAGGAAGATAACATTAATTACATCTCGAGTTCTTTGACCATTACTGCGTTACATAAATCAAGAATATGTCAGACAGGCTGAAATTGTTCTCCATCTTGTGGCGTGTATGTTAATTAACGCCATAGAGATAAAAAGTACATCATTTTTTCATCATTTTATGTTTAACACAAGGAAACTGATTCTTTCGCAATAAGTTATACATTGCACTGTAGCTGAGGTCATCGATGTTAATGTTAATCTTTGCTCCGTGATAGCTTTTCCTTTATTTGGGAAATTCAAACATAATAAGATATATAATCATTTCCGCGCTTTGTTTCGATTTTAAGAACGTCTAGTCGTATTTTTTAATATACTATATAGCAACTTTTCAAGAGTCGTTATATACTAGCAAAAGTATTTTTAACTACTGATTCTACCAAGTAAGATATCTTTCCCATTATATTTCTAAACAAAGATAATGTTATGTAAACTAAATCGTCATTTGAAAAACATTGATTCTATGCATTTTGATAATGCATTTCTTGGAGATTCTTCGGAAATGTAAAAATATTAATCGATACTCGAAATTATTATTAGACAGAAATTAAAATTGTAATCATAAAAACATCGTTATTATAACGGTTATTTTTGTTTTATCTATTATAAAAATTTTTATTTACAGATGAGGACAGTATTCTCTTTAATATTTCTCTTGGGATGCTTTGTGCTCTCCAGGGCACATACGTATCACATGGGTGGTTGCCCCCTTGTGGAACCAATGCAAGGATTTCAAATGAGCAAAGTGAGTTAATTGATATTTAAACGGAATTGATTTTTATTTATAGTAACTCAAAAATTTTAGTTTTTAGGAGTATGGTACGTAATTCAGAAAACATCGACTGCCAGCAAATGCATCACTTACAACTATACTCGTGGAGAAGAACCGGGTGAATACATTATAGCGCAAGATTCAGATCATCCAATATTAGGTAAGATATCTTCTTATGTAAGATTAACGAAATTTAACGAAAAAAACGAACAAATGTTAATAATAAAAAAAAGAGGCGTCACGACTAATGAAAACGAAAATGCTAACTCGACAACTTGGTTAATTTTAAAATTTAAAGGAGAACAAAGAAAGTTATAAAAAAGTTGAAAAAGTTTTGCGAAGATTTAAAGAAACGCAGAGATTGCGTGGGTGAATCCTACGCGACGTTCTGTCTGTAAACGATACTAACAATAGCCAGCAGCGCGCGACGAGAAAAAGGTAAGATCTTTTACAGTCGTCTCGGTCGCGCTGGGTATGTATATATTGCTGGAAGCTTTTGAATTAATAAAGAAGGAGAACGTCGGATCCCATCGGGACTCATAAAAGCATGTCAATAGGATAACTGTCTGGCAAGTGGGATGAATTATCCGTAATGAAGCGACGTCTCTATGCGCAGGTCTTACACCATTGAAGCACGAATATCATTACATCGGTGAATTGAGCGTACCGGAACCAAGCACGCCGGCTCGAATGGAAGTTCGTTTTCCTCTTAGTAAGTATCACGATCGTATTGGAAGAAAGATGCATACAAATTAGTCAATTGTAGTCTTCGATTGCTTCAGGATTTAGAGAAAGATGTTATGTTCAATTGTTCGGTTTAAAAAAGATTTTTTCGATGATTTGATATCGATTGTTAATTTATGTGGAATTGATAGAAAATTTGGTAGGAATTTTTATAGTTAGAGATAAAAAGTTATATAACATAAGGAATGTAAAAAATAAAGAAGGAAATGGAAGGGGTTAAAAGTGTAAAAATGCACAGGGATTTAAAAGGCAGAAAGATACAAGAAAATATCAAAATATATGGGAAAAAGAAAGTATATAAACGTGTGATATGAAAATAGATGCATAAGAAGCGTAAAGGAATTATAGTAAGCGAAGAGAGAAGACAATTTCTCAGTAAAACTAAATTAATTCATCAAAAATTTCAAAGAATCCCTAACAATTTGCCCTATTATATCCATAGTAATCGTCATTTTAATTTATTAAAGGTGTAGCTAGAAGTGCGTCCCACGTAATATTCTCCACGGATTACGACAATTATGCAGGCATATTTACGTGCCAGAAGCTGACGTTTGCACATCGTCAGAGTGCAACAATCCTCTCTAGGCATCGAGAATTAGACAAGACCTACGTGGACCTTCTACGTCGGCAATTGACCAACTTCGGCGTGGATCCCTTTGATTTGAGTATTATATCTCAAAGTGGATGTCCCCATGGTAACAATACCCTGGATATCACTGTGGACCCACATACTTTCACTACTGAGAATCTTGGGAACGTGGTTTCTAAAGCTGCAGGAAAAATAGGAGATGCTGTCCAATGGGTAGCCAATACGGGATGCAAGGTGTATCACACGTTAGCCGGAAGCGAAGAAGAAGACACAAGTAAACCGGAAGAGAATACCAAAGCCGCCATTTCAGATTATGACACGAATGAAGTCGTATGGATTCCTTAAATTCAAAATTTTATAAGTTTGTTCGAAATACCTTGATCTCGATAAGGATGAATACCTTTTCGTTTTATCGGTATCTATTTTTTCATCAATAGAACGAATATTCCTATTTTCTTCCTCTGACTTTGATGAAATTATCAGTCACGACATTTGCACACTGCGATAAATTAGAAGTAGAATATGAAACGAGAACGAAAGACTATGTAAGGAATAAACTATTTTTATTTTTTTGCTGTGACTATCATGAATAAAATGAGTTGTTTTGAAACGCGAACGAAGTATTCCTTTTTTGTACTCCATATAAACTGCCTTAGTTACTTTGGGAGAAATCTGAAATTGCTTGAAAAAGGGGTTCATTTTTGAAAAAAACAAATTAAAAGATTATAAAATTCAAACGCTTTAAGTAATTTCAGAAGAAGCTATAAAAACCTAGAATTAATTTCTAAAGTTTATATAAATTTCTAATCGTTCTTAATCATCCTCAATCCGCAGTAATGGACAATTCTGTTGTCGACGTTGAGGGAAAATCGTACTGTTTGCAAATGGTCTATGTCGAGCGGTATTAAAATGTTGAAAAATTACAAAATTTCTGACAGAAGGAAGAATGTCGGCAGCATGTTGCGCCCTCGACGAATTAATCCAATCCATTTGCGACAAGCGGAATTAAATGTTCTACAGTTGCAAATATGTGATGTATCACGTGATTCGGAATTTCCCCCGAGTAATCTGGACCACGAGTTCATATATATATATATGCCACGGAATATTAGTATCCTGACGACCCGTTTCAACGATCAGTTTGATAACGGCCGTTGAGAAGACATAAAGCAAATCTTTGTTCAGAAAGGACATCCGTCGACCATCACCCTGTTTCAAGGTCCATGTTTCTGTGAGACTGAAGAGACCTTTTTTGGATGATCGTGATTCTGTAGATAAAGGAAAACAATTGATCATTGTCTACGGAAGTTGAACAGGATTTCAAATAATTCTTCAGTGTATGTACATTAATTTGTCACGCTTTTATATATTATTTTTAGTATCAAGTTGTTTAAAAGTTTAGATCCCTCTTGCTTTTGAAACAGTTACTTAGTTTAGAAAATATAATATATGTTAATCATCTTCGTCATTTTTTTAAGTTGAAAATTTAATAATTTCAGTTGAGACTTTAGTAGAGATTGTTTAGTTCAAAATGATAGTATAAAGTTACATTCCATACGCGTACGTTCCAGACGCATACATTATTCAAAATATTTCCTTTAACAAGCATACGCGTGAGGAATCGATAAACGATATTTCCAAAAATTGTATTTTTTGAATGGCGTGAATCTTTAACTACTACGCAAAAGGAATCTTTTATAATTTTATAGGAAGTAGAATTACATTGTTACTGTGACTGAATAGATAAATTGATCGAATAAATTGAACGAAAGGAGACACCTTCATACAAAATTATATTCACCTCTAAACTCTGCAATGCACAGCGGAATTACACGCTCATTAAGATATTTTAAAAATGTATCCATTACGTATTAATAGTGATCATTATAAAAGTCTAATACATATTCATTGTTAACGAGTATGTACTTTTTCCGGATAAATATACATGCTTTCATATTGTTTCCATGTATAGATTCCAAATTTAAAAATTAACAAACCAGCAACATTAAGTCAAGGTTTAAACTTGAACAGATTTCAGTATTTCCACTGTCTCCTTTCGTACCAACAATATTTCGATCAGTAAAATTATTAAAATCCAAAATATTTAAATTGTGCCTCCTGATGATGCTTTTGTTACCTCCAACGTAAAATTCCACAGGATCGGTGTCGGTCAGCTGAGGGGTTGTTGCGCACTGCAGTAGCTCGAGTCGCGTTGCGGTTTCCGGGGTGCGCAGCCAGCGGTGGGGGTTGTTGGTTGCTCCTTGCGCACCATGCCTCTTCTTTCAGTGAGTTTCGCGTTATTCCCTCGACTCGAACTCGTTTCGCTTTCCTTGATCTTTCAATTAGTCTTATAAACTCACCTTTAAATCAATGTACTTCCAACGTCTTCATTTATTCACGTAACAATTTTATTATTCGAGCCATTGAGATTGAACTTGCGTCCTCGGTGATCGTGACTGGTGAAACAGCAAGATGAACATGCTCACCACTGCACGTGCACAACTTTTCTACAGGGTAATTGATCGATTTAAGCGGCGCGTGCAATGAGTATATCGCAACGAGGAACGATTCCTCGGGAATTGTTCGTGACGTCAGAGCATGGCTAATTTCTAATTTCTTGGCCCCCATCGCAATACCTTATTACGATACTTTGTTGTGCTTACATTTTCATTTTTACCATGTTTGGCTTCTTTCATAAACCCTGCAGCGCGATACATTGTAATGTCATTTGTTCTATGTCTAATTTTTGCCACTTTTCAATGCACATTCTACAACACTGAAAGTAGTTCCCTTTGTTCGATCACAAGTGAGAGTGGACGCAAGGCGGGTTCTTTAAGATAAGAAAATTCCTTGTTGTCTACGCTTGCAGATAGAGAATTGTTGACATAACTTTTTCCTGAAAATGAGATAATAAGGATCATTAAGAAATAATTTGACAGTGACTTGTGTTTATCCTAATTAGCCTACCGTGATATCTGATAATTTGAAAGTCATAGAATTTTCTTATAGTTTTTCCAAACTCTGAGAGGTCTTTCTTTGAAAAACATAATACTGTAAATGAAAAGAAATTTATGGCATTTTTTTTTCTTGTGGAGGGTTGACGATGTTCAGTGACACAAAGGTGTAATTATGATTTAGGATGGGTAACCCTTGCAAATGAACGAAGGTAGGTCAGTGCGGTTGAGTCACGCTTGATTTACCAGTTGATCACAGGGTTATCCGGTGTGAATTGGCGCAGGTTCAAGAGACAAGTTCGTCAACGAAGCCGGCTGACCCAGATTCACGATATCTGGTTCAATTTTGCAACGTGGGGTGACAATTCTCACGTGAGACTCGCAGGATCTGTCACCTCCCCAATCTGGGACGATCTAATCGCGCTAATTAGATTAAATTTCTATCGACCGAACAAGTTGCGCCGTTGGACGGTGTTAATTTGCGTCGATCTAGGCATTTGATGCCATTACTACTTATGATCTTTGCTCCTCGTTTGCATATAGTTGTACACGACAAACATACTTTTTACAAATCTTTAATTTCTTATTAATTTTTGCCCTTCGAAATAAATATTGATAGTTGGAACCATACCATTAAGATTTGAGTAAATATCTCTTATAACTGAAAGTTAATTCTTTTCGCTAAAAGAGCAAGTCCATCTCACGGGAAGCTTCTTATGTCAAAATACACAATGCCTACAAAAATTATTAAATGATTATTATTCTGTTTTATATTCAAATTTTGCAAACAAAGTAACAGAGAAATAGGAAAAAATTACGTAGATTATTTAGTCCAAAATCATCTATAGATAAATTTCAGGTAGAAAAGTTGAAGTCCAAGCAACATAGAGATTATTTTAGGATCTGTTTACGTTCCATAGTCTTCTTTACATAATTATACGAAAAAGATCAGCATAGAAAACAGCAATTTCCATTGACGCCAATCTCCGAAGGTTACTTAAAAGCCATTTAAAATCATCCCATATCGAATCTCAAGTCGTTCTTACAGGTATTTGCAAGGTCGTTCATCGCCCTCGTTTTCGAACGTCTCTTCTCGCTTTTATTTCTCCATGAGCCGATCTCCTTCACGATTTCAACGCGTCAGAGGAAAGGACAGAAGTAAGAAACCTTCAACGGTTTGGTCTTTGTTCCTTATCTCCTAGCGACCTTATAAGAATTGTTGTCCTTGAAGGATCTTTGGAAGTGATTCTCGAGAAAGGTGAAGCATCATTAGTTGCTCGACGTTCCTCGAAGCCACTGCTTCGGGTGTCCACTCCTTGATCAAATCGCAGATGTCGACTTTTCCTCGATTCGCGATTGTCTGTAGAGGATTTTCTTCCTTTTCTATGAGTTCTTGAAGCTGAAAGAGAATCGTGCGTCCTTTAGTAGAGAGATTTAAGCCTTTATATATTTTATGCAGATTTTTTATATATTATAGAAGTCTTTGATTTTGAGATGAGTAGGTAGTGACAAATGAAAACCTAGAGGTGGTGTGAAGCTTCAATACGATGTCCATGTAGAAGAAGGCACTTGAGATTTTCGTTGTTGCGTATAGTGGATGCTTCTGCAACGTTTTGATTTCTTCAAATCGACAGTAAGTGCTTTTGTCTCATTGCGATGAGTATTATTCTATTGTATAAATGGCTTGATGGTGATGGTGCAGAGAGAATTATCTTTGAAATTAGAGAAACATTATTACATAGGAAATGTGTAATAAGAGAAAATACGTAAATACATAGGAAATATGTAAATAGAAACTTTCTATATCCATTTAAAATAATATATATAATTTATATAAATGATACGTTGTAAAATAATACACATATCTTTTAAATTGCTAAAGAAAATTCGATCAATTTAATGTACAGGAAGTTATGGACCTTGTTATATGTTTACCTTGCTAGCTCAGAAAGATGTATATTTATGCAGATGCAAACGTGGTCATGTTTATTAATATTTTCAATTATCATTTGTTTTTATTATGTTGATATCTCATAAATAGTCTTTTTTATCTTTCAATACAAACGGTGAATTGAATTTTAAATTAAAAGATACTTCCTCTTAAAATGCAACAAGTTTTAACATTTAAAAAGCAATAAATTAAAGCGATATAGACAAAGTGGAATAATTTATCAACATGCCAAGAAGAGTAAAAAAAGATGTTGTTCGTGAACCTTTGGAAAAGAAACAGTCAAGGTAAATCTTTGTCATGGTTATGATAGCTGAAGCTAGCAAAGAATATACCGTTTCATAACATTTAATTGATCTACCCTCCAACTTGTTCGTTAAAGCGACCGGAATTCCTGCGGGTCAATCTATTCAGACGGTCAGTTCAACAAGCAACGATTAATGTCGGATTAAGAAAAAAAAAATATCACTTTGTCCTGTCCATGTAATGTAATCAGTTTTTATTAGATCCGTTATCATTATAATGGAGTCCTGACTCATAGAAACATGTTAATAGTGAGATGTGCTCATGGGGATTCAAGTTTGATCTGAAAATAAAAATATTCAGTTATCAAAGTTGTTATATTAATTAAAGAATACCAAAGATAATATAAAAAGGAATAGAAAAAGAACAATTATTCTAAATTATGTTAAATTATTGTAAAAAGCACTCGTTTCTTATAACTTAGATGATATTTCGTATTTTTATTAATGATTAAAAAATTCTTTAAATTTTATTATGATCATAAAAGGCACTCAAGTTTTGCATAAGTGCTAACACTGTGTGCTTAAGTGAAACTAAAGACGAAATGCAGTTAGAGTACAACAATATTGGTATTTGTACATACAGTCCTGTACTCCATACAGTCACTGAAAAGTTGGGAAACGTTTGCAGATCATCGACCCACTGTCCCCGTTAAAAACATTCATCAGGGAGTAAAATTTCGAGTGATCAAGGAACACAAAGATAGGTTGATCAACAGAAGGCTTTTTGCATTGAGAATGAAGAATATCTGCCGCTTTACGAAGTAATAGAATAGAATATTTGGTATGACACGGTTTTAATTAGTATCGTAACTGAAGATCATCATAAAAATAAACACATTAAATAAGATACTAATCTTATCTTCAGCACGCATTTTAATAGAGTTACGCAACATTTCAATGAGAAAAAATTGGAATCTTAATATGACTCATGAACTGTAATATATACATTCATCATTGAATGAATTACTTACAAGATTTAGTATGACAAGAACAATAGAGTGTTTAAACCAATTAGAAATGACTTCTGTTCGTAATTTTAAATTAATTCTTTTGTTTTTGTTCATAGATGATTCTCCTGCCCGCAATCCTCATACCGACACTCTGGTTGAATCACACTGGTGAGGCTAGTGTTCTCGTGGCAGATACCACGATGTCCAGAATGGTGGAACTGAATGCAGACGCACCCTTCTGTGCCTTGTATACCGACCGTGGTGTTATTCAGAAAATGGTTCTTGGAGCTGACCCGAAAAAAGTTAGGCAAATGTCGAGCAACCTCGTGGCAGACTTGGAAGAAACGTGTAGAGCCTCTCGTGACAAGGGAAAGGTACCGATCGATCACTTCAGACGTTGAACCATGACGAAATCGAGTAAAATCCTAATTGATTGAACGCTTAATTCGCTTAAAGTAGATTATGACTTCATACACAGACAATTCCATCAGTAAGTAAAATTCTTAGTAGCACTACTAACAATAGAAAAATTTAAAGCTATCACCTAAATAAAATATGTCTTGAGAAACTATTATTATTTTTTAAATAAACTCGCACTTTTATCATACATTGTCAAAATAAAATAAAGAATAAATATTTCACTATTTATTCTAAGGGGACTTTGAAGAACTACAAATAAATAAAACACGTTCCATGTTGCATCAGAATCAACCTGCAGGCGGTGGATTGATCTACCCAGGTACAAAATGGTGTGGACCAGGCACTTTGGCCAAGACGTATGACGACCTTGGCCACCACGCAGCAGAGGACGCTTGTTGTAGAGAGCATGACCATTGTCCAATGACGATATTGCCGCAGGAGTGTATTCATGGTATATGCAACAATTCACCGTTCACACGGTCTCATTGTGACTGCGACGCGAAGTTCCGTAGATGTTTGCAGAACCTTAACTCGGAAGTGGCGAATACTCTCGGAGCACTTTTCTTCAACGTGATACAGGTGACTTGCTTCAAGGAAAGACGCCCATGCTCGCAATGGCAGAGGTAGGTCTATAGAATTAAACATTTACGTGTAATATTTTCTTTGAGGAATTTTTATTTTTTTAGTTTTCAAAAGAATTTCTTTAAACAAAGTTTTAATTAACTTATAATGTTAAAACAAAAAGAAAAATTGTACAAGAGAAGAATATTTTAGTACCTTTTTAACGTTCTAAAAGACGATTTCGAATTTTTCGTCTTCACTGATATTTCGCTAGAAAGATTATTAGTATAATTTGAATATTCTTTTTCTATTTCAATGGTATTTTGATTGCTCAATATTTCTAAGTAGAAAAAGAATTTTTTCGGTATCTCCTTAATATTCTAAAAGATTGCATAAAGTTCTTTCTATACCCGGCATATTGCTGAAAAAAATGTACAAGCAAAAGCAGTCCCCTCGAAGTGATTAACGACTAAATACACTCTTAACGATTACATCACCGGCTCTCCTCAGTTGTCCCGTGTTTTGGGCGAATTCGACGCGGTACGAGTCTAGTGATTTGCCACGGGACTATTACGCCCACAAATATCTTTTCTTGAAGACGTTACTCCAGGCAATGCGCAGCGTCCTGAAACAGAAACACAACTATCTTCATGTCCATGTGTGACTGTGGATTAAACGTAATTTTATTATAAGACATAAGCTTACAGGCTGGTGATCGGGTTTGTGATTGTAATTATGGTAATGGTGATGGTGCTTATGTGTTTCCTCTGCTTCTTTAATGATTTTTAAAATTCTCCTCAGATGTTCCTGGAAAATTTCGCAATAGTTAATCGCGTAATCATTACGTGGTTGATCTGTTACAGAAATGGTTACGCGGAATCGGTGTCGAACCGGTTATGTTCCCAGTACAAATTCCGACCAAGCGACAAGTACGTGCCGCTGATGCCCTTGAACGTGAACTAGCTATTGCGGAAACGCAAGAAGAACGGACCAGACAGCCTTTGAAGTGGTGCCAGTTAACAGAGTTCCAATGAGCGGGATAATTGCACGCGTCTCACCCGCGTTCCTCGCGCGCCCTTTCTTTTTCTATCACGCTGATCCGACCTGTATGGGAATCGAGCGTAATGTTCTTTCTCGGTCATTCATGAATTTACATTGTTACAGGTCACCGTTTCCCGTGGAATGCCTTTTTCCTCGTTGATTATTGCTTGGTAAAGGGAAGTATCGTCTTCTCAATTTCTTCAATATATTTTGCTATAAAACAGATGAACAAAAGTTAGTTTCTTATTTGAAGTATATAAGGTATATATATATTTTTTTTAATATTTATAGAATCAAAAATTTCTTTCAAAATTTTAACTGAGAAATACCAGTATTTTGTGTTCCTTCTTTTTCGCCTTGTGTAAGGTTGTACTTCAATACACGCGCAGGCAACTTCGCGGTCATCGAAAGGAACAGATGGGTTAAAAACGACCAGCCTGAAAGAGAGGAACGGTTATGCAAATATTAACACCTGTTGTCCTTGTAACTCAGGTGCAGTATGTGCGAGGTCAACGTGTGATTGGCGTAAAAATTTATTTCGCCCTTCGTTTCGTAATTGTGAAACGAAGAGAATGAAAAGAATTGTGCAATGCATAAAATACCCTTGAAAGGAAATTGGTGTGAAATTTAAGGACATATTGTAAGCCTCGAGGGTGTCGCGTGCAATCGAATCGAATGGAATTTACATCATCGACAAAACAATATACGATTTTACTGCTCAATATTGCTCTTTTAACATGTTTGCAACTTTAAAAGTAATAGTTTGAGTGATTAACCTTCTTAAAGATGAAGTGAGGTACAAATATACAAAATGGAAAGAGATCTGTTTTATGGTGAATTGAAATTAAACCAAAGATTGCAACAAACAGAAAAATTACTGTTGCTTGATGTAACGTGATAATGGAAGGTTTCACTGGAACTATTTTATCGAAACAAGGTTCGTGTTTCTTGCATATCATTCGTCGCCAATGCTGTCGCGTAAATGTGTATGTAATTGCATAAAGACGCGCAGTATTAGCTACGATTTTTCTTAGATTAAGGTTTTCCATCGAGTTGATGCGTAAGCAGTTGGAAAAAAGATCCCGAAACGTAAATGGTACAACATGTATTCAACACACCCTTTTTCAAGATGAAGAATGACGTTACTAAATGCATCAACTCGATGGACTGAGAGCGTACCAACGGAATCCATGATGTTTACGATTTTCTATCCTCTTTGATAGTTTAGACTTTCAAACTCATGCGTTCAACGAATCTCTGGTTTAAAATACTTTTAAGGTCGTTCGAGCGTCCTATAACTAGTTAAAATTAACATCATAATAATATTACGGCACAAATATTCAAGAATCATGAAAGATTATGATTCATTCAGCACACACTGTACAAAACAATCTGAAGAATACTTGATCAAACAGTTTCGTCGTTTGTACAGGGTGTTTTATTCAAGCTATATGAAACTGAAAAATTGATCACGTAGTTCAAGAAGATGTTTAGAATTACTTGAAATGATATGAAGACTTTAAGGATATCTCAAGGTTGACCTTTATCTTTGCTATGATTACCACCTAACGAGTTCGATAGCCGAGCCACAAAATATTTAAAGGTTCAACTAACTATATACGTTAGATTACAGAAGTCAAAGAACTCATTTAAAGGTCGACCTTTAAATGCCCTTGACGGTTTTATCTTTCAAACGAATTTCTAGTGTCTTTTTAATTCTACATTCGGTCTCCCTTTCATGTCTTATGATCGAAGAAAGTAATCTACTAATTATTTTGTGCAGTGATTGAGAAAAGAGAAAGATACGATTATAGGAAACAGAATGACAACGACCCAGCACAACGTCTACTGTGATTGAAATTATTCAGATATAAGCTTGCTGTATAGTTTAACTCGTAGAGGGGTTATTCTTGCCCAAATAATCGATGCTACCTGGAGAAAACTAGAAGTTGTCTCTGGACGATCGAGGATTAGTCGGATTTTGTAAATATCTCGAGACGGTCAGCCGGGGAAGCGTGCAATCGATCGAGTGTGTCACATTGATACGTCGGGAATACCTCAATAACATTTTGTTTCCTAAAGACCTTCGATTGACCAACGATACAGTGGAATCTGACAAATTCGAAGAAAGCTGAAAGAACAATTCAATGTGTCAGTTACAAAATATTTCCAAATTATTTTTTTTAATATAATATAGTCTTATAAATAATACAGTAAAGTTATTAAATCGTATAAGATATCTTTATGTACAGAAAAATAAGCTTTCTCCAAAAGTATCATATATATACCTAATATATAAATAAAATTCATAATAATAAATTAAGTTACGGGTACTTGGAATTGATAATTTAATCAGGTTACCTGAAATTTATTTTGGAAGAAATCGAATCTTCAAGATTACTCTGTATTAACGAATGTGTGATGATTGTGTATTTATACCTATATAACCGATGAATTTTTTAATTATTATGTATATTATTATAATATAACCTATGTTTTTGTCGTTTATACGTGATAATATTGCCTGTATTACATTACTTATATAAATATATTTTAATATAGAATAGATATTCTTAAAGAATATTTATATCATATACTATAAAGAAATAATAATTAATTTTGCACAATTCTTCATAGCTATATTTATCTTTGAAATCTCACGATTTGCACTTTCCATACATTACTAAAAATTAATTTAACATACATATTTGAAAAATTGTAAACCGTATCTGTACTTGAGTTAAATGAAAGACCAAATATTTTGAAAAATAAATAACTACCTCCTTACAAATTACTTATTTTATATTTTAAATTAAATTTTATTTTGAACGATATTAAATTAAATTAAATAATATTAAAAAACATTAACTAAAAAGTTATTGAGTGATGAGGAAGTTACTTAAAGAATGTCAATAATTCACCATTATCAAATAAATTAAACACAAAAGTTTTATAAAGTTTAAAATACATACTTTTCTAATCTGTTTTTTATTTATTAAAATAGTTGCAAACAAATAAATCGATTATTTTTCTAAATTAAAAATACATAACTACTCTATTATTCCATTCATATTTTTTAAATAAACCTAGGTATTTTTATATATTACTTTTTACTTTTTAATTAAAATAAAAATTTGCTATTTTCTTTAATCAAAAGATCGAGAAGAATCTAGTAAATTTGAAATACAACAATAAGAAATTGTTTTATTTGTATAAATATCAAATTTGCCGCCACTGCGCAATGTCCATCGTATTGAGAATGGATTTCGAATCTGTTCACTGTATATTCAGTGGCCGAAACACGGAGTGGGAGTGTGTCAGTTCTAGATGCTGTGATGGATGAAGTTTCGTCAAACGGTACGTCTTTTTCGGCAAAGTAGAATGTTATTTTTAGACGAACTGATGGAAATTACAGTGTAGTATGTGTAATATTTTAGGCTGTGTGCGCGACAAATGAATTGATCGATGAGTTTCTGTGTACGCTTGATCCTTTGTAGATCGCGTGGGCGTCCTGCCTTCCAAGACTCTTGGCCCACGCTCTACAAGAGACTTTATTTACGCGTTCTTTCGAAGTGTATCTTTCCGAGTGTGTATTAATGAGAAAACAATGTTTCGAAGAGCATTTTACAATTCCGGTGATGCACTTTTCTCATTGACAAGCTTTGATCGTCTTAGAATTGGTCGATTTCTTGTCAGCTGGTTGATAACTGCTTTCTCAACGCTTACCTAATGTCAACCGTGAATCACGTTTCCTTCCTACTATACGTCCCTGACGCGTTCTGTTTTCCGTATGACTGCGTCGTATTTGTTTTTGCAACCGCAACGGCTTTAAAGCATTCGAATTTTAATGCTTGATAAAATTTCTATTACTGGGTTGTGTTGCGTTCGCATGAAAGTCATACAAAAAACGCATGTACAGGTACTAATGTAAATACGCGATACTAAAGTGTTTAAAATCCAACGTAGCAAGGAAATTTAATGTGAAATTATAAAAGCGTAAAATTTTTGTAACTGGTTTTCAAAGTGGTTTTTTAATCAAATTTGTTTCTAATATTGTCTAGACCTAGGAAGTGGGGAAAGTGGTGGGACATTAACGTGTGCTGGATGTCTCAATGCAATTGATGAAGATGAATTCATACAGGCACTAAATCAAGAATGGCATATCGATTGTTTTCGGTAAGAATAAATAAAAAATATAATTAAATTGTAATATTTAAAAAGATATGTCATTTGTAAAACTATAATTTTTTAGGTGTTCAGCATGTGACATTGGCCTGTCCACGTGGTACTTTGAGAAAGATGGGTTACTCTTTTGTAAAGATGATTATTGGGCTGCTTATGGGGAAGCTTGTCAAGGTTGTGGCCAAATCATTACAGGTCCTGTCATGTTGGCAGGTGATCACAAATTTCACCCAGAATGTTTTGCCTGTAACTCTTGTGGAGCCTTTATTGGCGATGGAGAGAGTTATGCACTAGTTGAGAGGTCAAAGCTGTATTGTGGAAGTTGTTATAAGAGACAAATGCAGCCAATTAATAGGACAGCTAATTATCCATTCACGAGAAAGCCACACAGCATTAGACTAGTGGAGATACCTCCAAATACTTCTGATCCTGAGAAACAAAGAGGAATCAAACTGACATTAGACACAACTCCTAGTCCCAGAAATTGTGGTGCTTTGCTTCGTATATCTGAGTATGTACATAAATGGACATTTCTTTCTATTCATTGAATAAATATTAAAGAAATAATACTATTAGAAAATTGTTGATACTTTTTTATAATGGTTTAAAACAAACGTGCAAAACAAGAAATAGTAGGAAGTGTTTATGTCTGATATAAACTAGTATTGCCATTGCAAAGTTATATTACTGTAGCTTTTTTATAATATTTAACACTATGCATGAATGTCGTTATGTAAAAAAGAAAAGAAATGAAGCAGATGAGCAGCCTCTAATAACTTTGAACTAAAATGCAGGTTAATGAGAAATGTTCGTGGAAAAATCAGTAAGCTGCTGGCCTCTGTGATGGAGGTTCTATTTAGACTATGCTGCCAGTTCTCTAATCATAGGTACAGCATAACAAATAAATAATATGCACTAGATATTGTATTTGTTTCAAATTAGATGTGTGTCTCTTAGTATCTGCTATTTAACTGCACGCAATATACATATTATGTGCAAAATAATTTCCTTGTGTATAATATTATTTTTTTACTTCATATGTGCTGCATAGGTGTGTGAGCATGTAACATTTATGATAAAGTGAAAATTAATGCATTTAAAAGAACATGCACTTCAAATATTTAGTATACATTATCAATGTATGTAAATATTAGTTTACTAGTATGATTTTCATAGCAAATGTGTCTTATTTCTTCTACATTTCTACATTTTGTATTTACTTTGTCCCATATTTTATATGTATTTAATAATTCATGAAAAATATGCTAGGCTAGAAAGAAATATGCAGATTAGTTCTACTATTTAGTTTTACTTCTAATCTTTAAATCAAGTATGAATTAAATGCACGCAAAGTTTTGCATGTTTTGTTTAAAAAAGTATATACATATATATACATTTGTGAACATTGAAGATATCGTGTGAAACGTGTTGCAGATTGAATATGTCCAGTGATCTCATATCTTTGCATATCGGTGATCGTATACTCGAAGTAAATGGCACCCCGGTTAAAGATCAGCCTATAGACAGTATTGAAAATCTAATACAATATTCCGACACAGTTTTACAGGTAATTTTTTATTTTATATATGTAAATTCAAGAGTAATTAATCATTTAATCTACTCGATCATGATGGATATAGAAGCAAATGCTTTGGATATTCTAGCTAACCATTGAGCACGATCCGGACACAGTATCTCGAAGACCGACGTATTCGTCGCCGTCCGCGGCGATGTTGACATCGATTACGAGTCCAAGAACAAGTCCCGAAAATAAAGAACGTTTATTTAAACGTCGAGATGAAGGTTACATCAGTGGAACGCGAAGTAGGCAATTGCGGAGAACCAGAGATCCTATGCACAAAGAGCGTAGTAGTTCCATGTCGCGGCTGCTTGACGGGTACAAATCAAGTTGCAAATGAAGTGTTCTTATGATGGTTACCAATAGTTAAATATAACTTTCTGAATTTGCTTTTTTAATATGATATGTTTGTAGATCTTCATCCACAAATCCTACATGTGACTTAAGCAGGACTAGATCGTTTCGTGTCGAACCAAAGAATCAAAGAATATTCCGTGCCAGTGATCTAGTAAAAGGTGAACTGCTGGGTACAGGATTTTTCGGGCAAGTTTTTAAAGTCACACACAGGGACACCAATGAAGTGATGGTTTTAAAAGAATTATACAGAGTAGATGAGGAAGCCCAAAAGAATTTTTTAAAAGAGGTGAGTTTTTTATATCCAGAAACATTATTTCACCTTCTCTAGCCTTTTTATGTATCAATACACTTTCCTTCTTTTTATTTTATGTAAATATAACAGGTTGCCGTGTTACGTTCATTACATCATAACAATGTTCTTCGATTTATTGGTGTTCTATACAAAGATAAGAAACTTCATTTGGTTACCGAGTACATAGCAGGTGGAACTTTGCGAGCTCTGTTGCATGATACGAATGAAGTCCTACCGTGGGAACAACGAACGTCGTTTGCTAAAGACATAGCCGCTGGCATGGCTTATTTACATTCCATGAATATAATTCACCGAGACTTGAACTCGCACAACTGTCTTGTACGCGAGGATAAGACTGTCGTCGTAGCCGATTTCGGCTTAGCCAGGATAATACAGAACGGCAATTCCCCTGACAATCGTAAATATAGTAGACATTCCGACGGAGAGGTGAAAACATCGAAAAAAGAGCGAAAGAAACGGTACACGGTAGTCGGGAATCCATATTGGATGGCGCCTGAGATGATGAAGGGTAACAAGTATGATGAAAAAGTTGATATTTTTAGCTTTGGTATTGTCGTTTGTGAAATTATTGGGCGGGTTCAAGCGGATCCTGACTATCTACCACGATCTTCAGATTTTGGACTGAATCAAAACGTATTTAAGGAAAAATTTTGTTCTAATTGCCCAGAAATGTTTTATGTGATTGCCTTCCTTTGCTGCGATCTGAATCCGGACAAGAGACCGCCTTTTGAAGTGATGCATTTATGGCTGGAAGGATTGGCAATGCATTTATCAGTGGGTGCAGAATTGCCATTGGATTTGGAATCCGATATTAGAAATTATACAGGACCGAGCACGAGTACTAGTGAGTCTACGACTCCAGAGACTCTGGCACCGCAATTAAAGCCCATTAAAGAAGGCCAAGTGCACCAGGAAAAAAAACGGTGTAGTGGTTGTACTGATAGCACACTTGAACGTGAAGAAACCGTGTCTAGTAGTAACATACTTCAAGTGCCTGACGTGTTAAGTCCTCGAGGAAGGTACGTGAGACAGAACAGTAAAACGAGCGAGTCGTCTGGAAACTCGGGTCGTTATTCTAGGCAGAACTCGAGATCTAAGGAAGCTTCAATCGAAAAACCAGATATCGTTATTTCTCCGGACTGCAGTGGATTTTCTGGCTGCTTTCCAAGACAAAGTATCAATTCGAATGAATCATCTGCCCACTTTTCTAGTGATAAACAAGATTTATATGTGAAGAATGATCAGATGGAATGTAATTTGAAACGGATACCCACTATCGAAAAAATACGGTATGTGGGTAGAGCAAGTCCGTGTTCTCTGTCAGATAGTCCTGAATACATTATCGATAACAAGTGTTCGTACAAGGTGAATAATAATTTGAATTCCAAGTCAGCAGAGAAATCTAATGAATTTAATTCAATTGGTAGTGGTCATTCGAAGATCAAATTGGAAAGCAAATTCAAAATGCCGGATGCGAATTCTGTTAGTTCCTATTTGAGACAAATTGGAAAATCAATAACCGTCGCAGAAAAGGAAAATAAGGTTGATAGTCAGATTGATAATGACACGAAGAAGACTGGAGGCGAAGCTTCGAAGACATCAGCAGGGTGTTATCTAAGAAGAACAAAGATTTCTCCTACGAAAGAGTCGCCAAAGAGTGCATTTTCGCCGCAAAAGAACAATCAGTCCGAAGCTGGTTCTTCGTTACAATCAAAAATATTTGTAGGTCCGGAAGAAGTTACTGGAGAAGAACCTACTGATGACAGGGTAACAAGGCAAGAAAGTAATGTTTCGGATATCGGTAGTATATTGTCTAGGCAAGGAAGTCTTACAGTATTAGACTATACAGCCAAACACAAAGATAAAATGTACAAAGACTATTCGCCTTTTAATACCTTGCAGAAAGAGGACCTCAGTAAAGAGGGCGACAGTTTCAGGAAGAATACTGCGCTTCATTATACAGATAGTCTCTATTCAAATTCGAGTCTTTCCAGAAATGATGATTTTATTTCATACAATGCACGAAATGAGACTAATGTAGATAATAAAAAAGACTGCACCTCATCCACCCAAGATTGTACGAAGCTCGAGTCCAACGACTCTAAGCAAGTAATCGATACTAAGTCTGTGTATGATGGAAAATTACCAAACTCTTTGGCGGAATACACTGGATGTTATAAAAATGTGGATCTATGCAGGCAGGATAGTTTCGGTTCCGATAGTGCAGTTGGTACCATGAGAAGTAATTTTTTTGCAGATTTAGATTTCGTTCAGTTAAGAGACGGTAGGCATACACCGGATTTGTGCCATACTCCCGAACGGTGTTGTACTCCTAATCGGGCTGCGTCACCAATAGAGAGCACAGCTTTGTGAAGTTTTCACGTTAACAAAGTAACGTAGTATGTTCTTAATGAAACGAATCTCTCACTTTACTAATTTGATTTTCTTACGCTTAGCTGAAGATTTGGTAATTTAAGTCGTTTAGTTTCCGATTTTATTGCCTAACTTTCATAATTTCAAGATGATCACATCAAGCGTTAATGTTTTGTTTTTGTCAAACGTGTTGTAGCATTGTGTTACTGTGCGCAAACAAAGTATTATTAACAATTTGATGCTCAGTATTAATGAATTTCATTGCTATCGGTCTTTATGAGTTTAAACATGTTTTGAAAGCGGCGCATAGTGGCGCCCTCCGAAGAACTCGCACAAAAAGATATGCATTTTTGCAAGATCTTGCCTTGTGGTTTTCATGAGCGGCAGTTTAAGTAATTATAAGACTAACGAAAGCATTCCATCCAGAATCTAATCTGATATATTCAGAATCGATAGAAGTAACGCGTGCTTTTCAAAAATGGTGTCTGAAATGCGCCGATCACGTGTAGCAATTTTTTAAACGAATTCCCGGGAACACTGAACGGAAGTCTAGATCGGTGCATCTCTAGTTTTTTCTCTTTGAAAATACGGGATTATATCGAAGAAATTGTAAGCATTATTGTAGAGTCAGTTTTGTAGAATAGAGTGTAAAAAAATGATATTCTTTACCGGATATATATGTACATCATACTGTAAGATATTATCCACATATATGATGGTGGTGTGCATGTAAAAATTATCGACATGTATAAATTTGGGCTCGTCAGTTATATCTTTGTTATTCGCATAGAAAATAGCATTTCACCTATTTGATATTAAATTTTTTTAATGTTCTGGATGCTGTTATTTATATCTTCTATTTATCTCTAATTTGTAAATTGCAAAATTATATATTCTATTTTTATTTAACTTAATAATCCACACGTTACATATAGCAAAGATATAAGTGATGATAAAGTAGTATGATGTGTATAATATAAAAAAATGTACATATAGTTTTGTATATATATATTCCAATATTTGTCATGTTCAAAACACTGTTTACAGAACATATATTTAACAGTAAAAAGCTTTATATTGATAATATAGAGACAAAAGTTCTTTTGATACTATTATAAAAGTTGTATTTCTATTCTATTACATTCTATTCATAAGAAAAATGTTCCCTAATTTGAGATAGGAAAGCAGAGTAAAAGACTTACAATTGGATTTTGAGTCTTATACAAAAGGAACGAAAGAAAAATATATGATAAATATTTTCTGGATAAATTAATTAATAGATTTTCACTTTATGTTGTATATACAAATTTTTCCATTTTGTTACCCATGTTTCTTTATCATTCAATTTTTAATTTATGTAATTGGAGATATATTAACATTGTTTTTGAGAAAATTTTTTAGTAATTTGAACACTGTTGTTATTGAAAGCACTTCGATTCATTACACCAAATAAATGTTTATTATCTGTGATAAAAAGTGTTTTGAAGCTGTCTATAATTGAAAAATTTCGTGGACGTAAACTGAAGAAATGTTACTAAAATAAAGGAACCCCAATTCTTACTCATTAATGTATAAGAAAGAAAAAAATTACTTGCAGTACTAAACTGATAATATATTAACAAAAACAAAAAAAAAAATAATTTTTTAAATATTAATTTCAACAGACAATACAGGCAATAAACAATTCTTATATGTAAAACTTGTATTTCAAAAATGAATAGTCATAATTTAAAAATGAATATGTGCAAAAAGGGTCGAAAAAGAAGAGAAGAAAAAAAATGTTCGATTTACATATTTAAACGAAAAATTTGATGTAAATCCTTGAAGCATTCGATCGAATATCTTACGTAATACATTTTTAAATAATATTTTTAACCGATTAAACTTTCTGTTGACATTCAAAAGGCTTAAAACTGTTTAATTGTTAAAATTCAAATTTTTTGAATATTCAAATAAAACTATTCGAGTCAAAGATGGCTAACATTATATCGAATGTTTCAAAATTTTTAATATTACCTGCACATGCCGAATGTACACGTATTTAAAGGCGTTTGCATAACGAATAATCGTCAATCGAATAATATATGAATAATCGCGTGCATATGTAAAACGGCGAGTAGCACTTGTCGTAGAACGATTTTCAGTAAACAGTATTAGTCTCGTTATCGTTGCTTACTTATGAATACCGTAGTACACAAGTAGGAAACTTTATAGACACGCGACGGGCACAAAAGAACTCTGTAAACTTTTGTAAAAAAAAAAAGAGATGGAGAAGATGACCTTTGGAATGGGTAGACACATTATTTTTATAGTCTCTGTAAATTGTTACGCTCCTTTTGTTCGACATATTGGGGAACACAAGGAGCATTCACAAATCTTAACCCCTCACAAATTATTTTTCTTCACTCCGATAATGGCGGACACGTTAGAATCAGAGCATATTTCATATACTACTTTGTTACGGAAGAAAACGAATCACAAAAAATTTGTGAGGCTCGTGATAAATTAAAAGGTTTAACACGAAATAATTTCAGTTGATAGATATTTTTGTGGGAGAAATTATGAAATAGCAATTTCCAAACCTTTCTGTAAAAAAGAGACACTATGTTGATTGTGTCACATATATTTAACCATCAAACATTGTTTCGATTTTGAGGTTACGTTAAATTTAAATTTAAATTTTTTGTCTTTTAATGCGATATAATTGATCAACAGAGTGTTACTAAATTTAGTTTTACAGAAAGTATAATAAAATTTGTATGTTTCTTTCAAGGATCTGTTTCTCTCAAATATAAAACAGAAACCGTTGTGTTCATAACGAACAGCAATAAATGTATTAATGTCAAAAGAAAATGTATTCTAAAGGAGACTGGGTAACACGCACGTTGTTCTTTACACTGCACATTTGTTGAAGTTTGAAGGATAATTTTTTAAGCAAAAGCGCATTTTGATGGATTGTATGTCACTTTCTGACACGATAAAATATTCGTCCCGATGATTGCTCAGAAGTTTAAATTGACAGAAATTGTAAACGAATGAACATTTTTTATAAGTCTTTGGTACTTGTTGTGACATTTCCGAACCTTTTCCGTATTGAAATTTATGCGACTAGGGAACAAGTGGTTTTGTTTAACATTCTAGTAATACAGAGAAAAATAAATGGTTGAGAATATGAAACATGTTGTCCTTTCTTGTGAAATGTTTTTGGTAACACAAGTAAAAGTTATTTATTAAAAAGTGTATTTAAAATTTAATTATTTAAATTTAAATATAATTTCAAAAATAAAATTTTTAATTCGTTGAATTTTTTAACGCCCACAGAAATTAGTATAGAATAGATTTATCATATGATTTATCTTTTTGTTACATGTTTAGGAGGCTATAGCACGGACTAGGCCTATGCCTATAGAGGCGCCTTTCCATTTTAGTGTCATGCCCAACATTACCGACTCTATATAAGAAAAAGAATTATTACAAAAGTCGTAGATTTCTGTTTTATGCCTTGTTATAATTTTGGTTAAATTTAGTTTTAATTACAACTAATATTAATATTGTAATCTTATTTTATACTGGATCGGTAATGATGGAAATGACAATAAAATGATAAGATGTACTGTAATTTTTGAAATATGTGATAGAAAAATATATTGGGTATGTGGTTTTGCTGTGATGATTATCAGTTATCAACTGCCAATAATTAACAGTGTGTTAGATGTCTTTTAATGTTTAATAAAGAAACTCTAGGTAGCAGCACATGTAGCTTTTGTTTTTTTGTATTGAAAGATGAATCTATATTAAACTCGATTTATAGAAAATTTTAAAAAGTACCAGTTTAAAAATTGACATTTAATTTAGAATTCATTAGAATTCCATTAATTATATACAAGTGCCTACTTGTGGTTTAAAACATTGTGTTTTAATAAGCAATGCAAAATATTATAAATTTAATTAGAAAAATATATAATGAATATATTATTTGAAATACCATTAACATGATATTTTAATTTATAATAATACTCGTCGAGGTGCTCGCAGTTTTTCGACAATGTAAGTATATAAATACTTTTACATATTTTGTCTCTGGGTTACCCCTGCAAAGAGTACACTCATGTTTGGTCATGATATAAAGAAACGTTTGATGGGAACAATAATGACAAATTAAATTGTTATAACCAGAACTACAATTTTGGCAGTTAATAAATGATAGCGCCATCTAATTGTATTGTAAATTTTAAATTTAATATTTTGTATTTAAAAGAGGTTTCAATATTCTAGTTGTACTTGAAATTGTTAGAAATTTTGTTTTTGTAGATTTTTATGAACTTCTTTTATAATACAATTTTTAGTACTAGCTGCATTGTATTCTATGACAGTTCAGAGAGGAAATTGACCGATGGCAGCACTGTTCGCAAAGCGTTGCATTTGTAAGTTTACGGCTGAATACACGTTACAAGAAAGAAGCGATTATTTTACAGTATTGCGCTTACTACCCAGGTAAAATTGTTATTTTGAATATAAGTATTCTAAATATGAAAATATGTATTGTCTGATATTCAGTTACATATCGTAATGTTTCGTAAGAGGTTAGTTTAATATCGCAATATTTAATTCTTACGAAGTTACGCTTAAATTTCGACGATATTATAAAAAATATAAATTATGAGAAAATTGGAGGTAGAATAGATAAATATTTTAGTGGAACGTTTGTTTCGTTTTAGACTTTTTAACAGTCTCTGAATTTTTCGTTACGAATACGAAATACGTCATATACTGAACGAATTCGTATCGTAGAATTTCTAAACGTTCCAAACATAAAAAATGAAAGATCTTCTTAAAGTCACATTCTGAAATGAACTGTATTTCAATGAAAACATTGCTAGAATATAAATTTGTCGTCTAGACAGTCGCGAATCTTGTGCAACGAGTTGCTACTAATTCAACTTGTATCAAGTATAAGAATCAGTAGAAACATGTTCTCAAATTTAATTTTTAAATAGTTGAGTTCATGTATTATTCTAAGCACCTACTGTACCATACATTTCTGTCATTCAAAACACATAACCTAACAAAATTAACGTTACCGCCGGAAGCGCCATCGATAGGATCAGATTTTTATCGAACTATCAAATCGATTACTCGCTTTGAAACATCGCTCGTTTTGTGGTCGATCTCTATGAAAGTAAGTAGCATAGCGATTTCCAGTGGATTTTTCGCAGGGATGCTGCTGGTGTAATTTGTCAAGCGTGGCCAAAGGAAAGAGCGGCGGTTTCGAGCGAGGAAATTTATGGGTCGCAGCGTGTCGACGGAAACCTTAAATTTTAACGTCCCTGTCGCGTACTCGGCCGGGCCCTGCCCTGCCTGTTAAGGACCTTGCGAAGGGGGATTACGACTTGACTGCCACGAAGCGAGCGTGGAACACCGAGGGGTGGTCTCTCCTCTCTCTTCGCGGTGGGGGAGAATCAGAAGTATTTGTAGGGAAGAGGGTGGGTTATGGGGTATAACGCGGCGAAGAACATCCGAATAAAATAATAATAAACCGCGGATACGTTTCAGCGCGCGTTGCTCCTTCTTCCTTCCTGATGGTTCGTCTGTCTCTTTTTCTGCCTTGGTCTTTCCTGTTTCTGCGTTGTCCGAAATAAATTAGTTGGGTCTAACCGCTTGAATCGAACGAGCATAATGAGTACAGGTTTGTATTTTTTTATTTTTTTAAGTTGTTTCCTATGGTAGAATTGGATAATTATTTTTTGCTTA